AGGGCAGAGGGAGAAGCAGACTCCCTGCCGAGCAGGGAGCCCGATGCGGGACTCGATCCCGGGACTCCAGGATCATGACCCGAGCCGAAGGCAGTCGCCCAACCGACTGAGCCACCCAGGCGCCCCGCTTATGAAATATTTGTAATGGGATAGTTTCCCCATCGTATGTGCTGTCACTGCAAACATTTGAGCTTCAAGTCAAAAGACAGGGGGAAAAAGTCTGTGGGTTATTTCTCGACTTCTCTTTCAACTTTGAATTTCCTCTTCCTGTGCAAAGTCCCGCAGCCAAGGATGATGTGTGAATAAATCTGGTGAGGGGATTGGTGGTCCCAAAGGATATACAAGTGTCTCTACATTTGATTGGGAATTTGCTTTGATTGTGTATTCCTAGTATAATTCTTCTTATGTAGTCATGAGTCTTTGTTTACATGCAGTTAAAATGCCTGTACTTTGACAATTTCTGAATTAAAAATTGTTTTAAAACATTTTTCAACTGGGGTCATCGAAAGTCTGGAAAGCACTTGGAAATGGGGTTGGTTCCTCAGTTTCCTGTGGTCTGTTCATCCCACCGGCATGAAGAGGAGGGCATTTACGATAAGTCAGAGATGGGGACCCCAGGGTCATTTTTCCAGCTGTGTCCATTGTGATTTGGGGTGAATATATTTTTGCCAAATTCCCATGGGGTTCCATCATGTGAAATGGTACCCCCAAAAAGCCCCCCAAACCCAAACCCACTTACTGCATTCCATAAAATGTTTCAGGCCAATCTAGGGTGGTCAACACAATTTAAGGTAAGAGGCATTTATCCTCTGTTTCTATCTGCCTCTCACTTGCTGGCTCCCCATTCCAGGTGCCCCATTATCCCTCAAGATACCCAGCATCCCCATGACACTCTCCTACTGCCAAAGCCCCCATCTGTCTGGCCTCATGCTTCCAGCCTTCCTCCCCAAGCATGGGGCTTCAGGCTGCAGTCCCTCCTGGCCACACCTGCCTTCCCTTCACCAGAACCAATCTCATCCGGACTTTTGGGGTCGCTGATTGGTTTCCATCTTCTGGGGGCCTAGCCGCATCAACAGAATGAAAGCACCTGCAGGGAGCTAGCCTTTCAGTAGGCAAAGGGCCATCCCTGGCCCGAGGGCAGCGTGGGCCTCAGTTGGGTACGGGTTAAGAAGGCAGAACGCCAGGGCCCACCGCAGACTTCCTGAATCACAATCTGCATTTTCACAAGACCCCCAGATTCGAGGTTCATGGATGCATTGGAGGGAAAGAGAAACCTCCTTCTACCCTCCTCGGGTCTCTGGCTGGGCCTAAGAATTAAACTGACATAGACAGATCACCAGGAGAGAAGCGGGTGTGTTTAATTTCATATTTTTACGTGGTGATGGGAATCTTCAAAAGGAAAATGAAGACCCAGAGAAGCCACTAGAGCCACATACTTATATACCTTTTTCGACAATGAACAATAAAATGTGGGACGTGACAAGATAAAGTGGCTTGGGCGTGGGGCAGTAAATCGTGGGATAGTGACCAGGAAACGCACACGGAGAGCCGTGGAAGATAAGGGTGATTGCAGCAGCTTGTTTGCCCGGGTCCCTTCCAGCGCTGACACCCAGGGCCTGGCCATAAAAGCGTCCTCTTCCCAGCGCACCGAGAGCACCTTCCTCGTGGGAAATTTTACGGCCTGTTTTTAGGTAGAAAGCAGGGAGGTCAGAGAGCCCTTCCTGCATCTGTGCTTTCTCTCCCGCCTTCAGCTCAAAATGATCAATATGCCGAAGCAGCATCTTTTGGGGTAGCGTGTTCTGAACCCCTTGGACATTAAAGGTTATGAGAAACACTCATTTTAGTTCTCTCCTTTCCTCTGACACAGAAAGAAATAAGTGAAAAAAGCGAGAGCACCTGGGAGATGAAGCAGCTTTAACCAAGGTTGAAAGGGCAGGATTTCCACATTCCGAAACCAGTATCCCCCCCGTGTTGTGGGCACCGGCTTGGTGTCTATAGAACTCTACCTTCCAGAAAACGGGGCCATAGGGTGGAGAAGTGAGAGTCTGGGGGGCAATGAGGCCACTTGGGGAATCTTCCCTCCTTCCCACTATGAGCAAGGGTATCTTCTACCTCTAAGAGATTCTCAGTCCCTGACGTTGTTGCTTTGCAACCTTGAGAGCTCCTGAGAAATCTGAGACCAGGCCCTGGCCTGGGGAGACTGGGAAAGAGGTAGACCACTCCAGATGGGCAGGTGGCAATTTTCTGAAGCAAGGGACTTAACATGGAAGGCTTGTGGGCGGCTGCAAGATGAGTGAGGAGCCTCGACTGACCATTCCTGTCCAGCTCAAGGGTCAACTGGTGGCCATGTCCTCTCCATGACCTCCCCCAACAGACATTAAAGAAAACAAAAAACCAGGGCGCCTGGGTGGCTCAGATGGTTAAGCATCTGCCTTCGGCTCAGGTCATGATCCCAGAGTCCTGGGATCGAGTCCCGCATCGGGCTCCCTGCTCCTTGGGAG